CTTTACCATGTGACTGTTCCGTAACCTTGCAGCTCATATCATCTTGTTCATCAAATAATCTCATGGTTCAAGAATATCAGCTATAATAATAAATTTTTTTGCTAATCTATTTATTTATTTTTATTTTATGTATGTTTTATTTAAATTAGAAATATGCATGCCTCAAATGTCAGTCCCAGCTCCCCCCTTCTCCCTCCACCAATCCCACCCCTCTACTCCCAGCCCAATCCCCACATCATTCCCCAGGGAGGGTAAGGCCCTCCTTGGGGGGATATCCAGAGTCTGTCATTTCATCCATGGCAGGACCTAGGCCCTTCCTCATGTGTCCACAATGGGAGAGCATCCCTCCATGTGGAATGGGCTCCCAAAGTTCATTTGTATGCCATGGTGAACACTAATCTACTACCCAAGGCCCCAGAGATTTCTGAGGCCTCCTCACTGACACTACATTCATGGAGACTGGATCAGTCCCCTGTTGGCTTCTTTTTTTTTTTTTTTTTTTTTTTTTTTTTGGTTTTTACGAGACAGGGTTTCTCTGTATTGTTTTGGAGACTATTAGACCAACCCGGCCTCGAACTCACAGAGATCCGCCTGCCTCTGCCTCCTGAGTACTGGGATTAAAGGCGTGCGCCACCACCGCCCGGCTCTCTGTTGGCTTCTTAGTCATCAGTCTGGGGTTCAAGAGCTTAAATTTTATGGAGTCAAATTTACAAGATTTGAACACTCAGTACTAAATGGGATGTCTTTAGCAAATCTGCACCTTCCCCCCCACACACATACAAAGCCCAAGGAACTTTGTAGAAAAGGAAGCAGAAAAATTGTAGGAGCCATGGAGAGAGAAAAAGGATGATGCCTAGACACAACAGGGCTGTCACATATATGTTGCTGCATGACAGGGCCTGTGCAGGTTCAAACCTGATGCAGCCCCAATGCTGACAGGAGAGGGGAATGAAAACAAGCTCTCATTATCTCTAACCAAAAGCCATCTGCAACTGACACTTGATTGCAGAGAAAAAAAAATGTCTTCTTTAATGAAGTCTCACTGGGAATATTAACCGCACTTAAGGGTAGGTCCATACCTAGGAGTGCATGGCCAACATAATATAAATTTTGCATTTTGTAGGCTTTTGACTTGTACTGCTTTGAACAATTTATAGTTTCAGATTTTGTGTTTTTATGGGGGAGGGTGTGTCCTTGTGTGTGTTTCTGGGTTTCCTATGCCTTTTTTTTCTTTCTAACTCATTTCTTATTCTGGTTGTTTGTTTCTCTTTTAGTGGCTGTTTGTTTTCTGAAGAAAGAGAAAAAGGGAGTGGAGTTGGATTAGATGGGAGGTGAAGAGAATGTGGGGGGAGCTGGGGGAGGGGAGACCATAATCAGAATGTATAGTATCAAATGTATTACACACACACATATATATATATATATACATATTAATTATATATATATAAAATAACAGAGAGGGAGGACGGATGATCAAAGGGATTAAGACTGGGCTGGTTTAACCCCCAGAAACAGCTGACCAGACAAAGGTTAACTCTTGAATCCCAGGCATTAGCCTGGGAAGCCAGCATGGGACTGATCAAGACCCCCTGAATCTGGGTGTCAGTGAAGAGGCCTAGGGAATCTATTGAGCCTTGGGCAGCAGATCAGTACCCATCCCAAGTATACACACGGACTTTGGACTCCAATAGAACAATGTGAGGTGCACTCTCACCCTGAACTCTTGGGAAAGGGTCTAGGCCCTGCCCTATATGAAATGACACACTATGGACACCCCCATGGAGGGCCTCACCCTCCCTGGAGAAATGAGGGGATAACGGGGGGGGAGGAGGGCACGGGAGGAAGGAAGGGAATGGGAGAGGGACCTGGAACTGACTTGTGAAGCAACCTTGATTCTTATCTAAATTTAAACTGGAAAATAAAATTAAAAAAAAATACAGGATAAACTCAAGTGAATAAAAGACATTATTTCCAAACTTGGTCATTCTATAAGTTTTTAAATGTTTTCAAATTTGACAATGCTCTCTGTTGTGATAAGTAGCATCTATTTTCTTCACTTAGGTCTGCCTACACTTATAATTGGTCAAATTAAGTTAGACCTCAATTTTTATGTTCATGCATATACATAATAAATACATAATATCTAACTATATTAATATAAATATTAAAATATTTCTATATCTGCCAAAACTTTGAAACCTTCTTCTGTGAGTCTGTAAGAAATATTTTTGGATAGCATTTTATTTTTCTATTTTTACAACTTTTGGTATATTTTGGTTCTCTGTATTCCTTTTAATCAACATTGGTATACTAATTTTCCTCAAATGATTATTTTTTTCAGATTTTGAAAACACAAAAATATTGTATTGTTTATGATCATTGAAAGTTGTACTATACTGTTCTTTATACTTTTCCTCAAACTGAGAAGGAAAATTAGGGAAAAATATATAGGAATAAAAAGCTGAAGGCTTCAACATAAGAAGAATAGAAGACATTCATCAGTTCTTATTTATGTAGCCATATTGTGAGGAATCGAGAGTATAGCTTTCATATCATTTCTAAGAGATCTAAACTCACACCAGACTTTCTGGTCCTTTGGCTTCTCCAACCTTCCTACCATCTCTTCTTTGATGTGCCCTGAACTTTGGGGGCAGAATTTGTATATAATCCTCTTCTCTTTTTTCCTTCTTTTTTATTTAAATTAGAAACAAGCTTGTTTTACATGTCAGTCCTAGTTCCTTCTCCCTCCCCTCCTCCCCTGACTTTTAAAATCATACCCTTTTCTTTGTGGTGAAGATGATGACAGGATGCCATGTGAGTTATTGCTGGCAGCCTCTAGCTCACTGCAGGACCATCCAAGAATAGAAGGACTTGCATGAGCAGCTGGTACATTCTTTATTAGCCATAAGGAATCATGCTTTTCTAATTTAATTGTTAAAGGAAATATCAGTAACTTTGAGGATATACTATGTTTCCTAAAAGAATCATACCTAAGTTGAGAGAGAGAGAGAGAGAGAGAGAGAGAGAGAGAGAGAGAGAGAGAGAGAGAGAGAATATTAAAGAGATGTGGGACCTTGAGTAGACACTGTCCAAAACAGAAATACACCTATCTTAAACTTTCTATGCAACCTTCTAGCTAATTTATTAACATTGTTGGCTGGTTCTGTGATAATGCTTGTAAGAAAAGCAATTTGGGTATTCTACAACAAGCTTATGACAAATAGCAACTCTACCCAGAACTGGAGTGTGTGTGTGTGTGTGTGTGTGTGTGTGTGTAAAGCAAATAGGGAGAAATGGACTAATGGACTTCACACTAAAAGAAAATGAGCAAGTGTCATTCTTCATACCATTCAGAAGCCTTGATTTATGCAGCTAGAGTAAGGAGGGAAGGAAACCTTTGTTGTACTGGTCCAGCTTTGTGACTTAATCTGCCTGTGAGATGCTATAAAGGAAACTGCTGCACTGAAAATGAATGAGTTGCATGAGTTTATTTTGGGGAGAAGGCAGGGAGCAAATGTAAAATGTTTATGTAAACAAACGCAACAGAAAGATAGCAATAGTTGTATCACTCAGAGAGGCAAAAATCCCATTTTCTTATATCCTCCTTCCCCACCAGGTAACTCAATTTGTTAAGGTAACATGACTCCGAGGCTTCAGCAAAGACCAAGAAAATCGGGTAAACAACTATAGATAATTGACTTACACTTTGAACAACATGGAATTTGTATCACTTGGGCAACCACTATTTGTGGAACATTTAATTTAATCACCTTCAACAATCAGTCTTTATAGTCATCCTGTGTTGGAGGTATCTTGATTATTTTCCCATTCTTCAATTGAAATAAAAAAATAAAAATAATAAATTTAGGCAAATAGCCCTTTACTTATACTCAATAATGAGGTTCAAGACATCTTGCTATGGAGAATGGGCTGGTATCTAAGAGGGTAAAATCCTTGCCTTACCTGAATTATATCCCTGGAACCCATGTAACAAACCAGGTGTAGGGCTAGGGAGACGGCTCACAAGTAAGATGTAGGTTCAAATCTCCAGAACCCATGTAAAAAGTTGGGTGTGGTCAGTGTGTACTGTAAATCTAGGGCTTGCAGAGGAGGACAGAGACAGGATTGGCTGTACTTGATGGCCACAAACCTACCTCCAGATTTTGTGAAAGACCTTACCTCAAGGAAACAAGGTAGGGAGTGGTAGAGCAGGACACTCAGTGTCCTCATCCGGCCTTCATACACATGAATGTGTGTTCATGACACACATGCACAGAAACTACATACAAGCACAAAAACAATACCCACAAGCACACGCTAACACATGTGCTTGTGATCCTGGTGCTGGAGAGGTAATGTCAGAGGGATACTCCCAGGCTTGCTGGCTAGCTAGCCTAGCCTAATCAGTGAGCTTCAGGCCAAGGTAGAGAAACTTAGGACAGTCAAGATTGAAATCTGGCATGTATGTACACCTGTACATCCTTGAACATATTCACCCACATAAACATTCATGAGACCGTGAGTGCATGAGTGCATGCGCATGCTTGTGCACACACATACACACACAGGCTTGCAAAGTATGGCTACTTAGAACTTGAGAATATAGCATAAATGGGAAAAGGTTACTGTTAATCTTCTAATCTACCCTTCTCTAATAGATGAGTAAATTTTCAACCCAGATGTACCCACTCTGTCCTCAAAGGACAGGAGTATACTTATATCTCAACGCACAGTAAAGAAGAGAATCTGACCAGATTTGGACTGGCAAAATTCCCCCAGTTTATCACTATACTCTTAATACCTGTGTCCAGTTATTCTTATCCAAGACTATGAACTTCCAACAAACTCAGCTTGAAAATGCACAGGCTTATTCATTTTAGGGCCCTGTTTTCTTGTGAAGGCTCCTCTATTTTATAAAACTGTATGCTTGAACCAGTGACTTTCTATTGTGATAACATACCAAAGGCAACTTAAAGGAGAAAGGGTTCATTTTAGCTTACCCCTGTAGAGGGATGGAGTCCAACATGATGGAGCAGGCAAAGCACAGACAGGGAAAGCATGGCAGCAGGGACAGGAAGTTGGCTGACCACAGTTTCTCCACACAGAGGTGTGCCACCTGTGCCACAAGCAAGTCTAATGTATCGGGCGAAGGCCTGAAAATTTAAATGAAAGACAAGACATCCGGCATTTGTGCTAAGAGAATGTGTGTGAATGTGTGTGTGTGTGTGTGTGTGTGTGTGTGTGTGTGTGTGGTGTGTCATTATTGCAAGGAGGGAGCAGCCTTATATACAGACTTACAGCACAGTGGAAAAACCCCAGGTGTAAGAGCTCATGTTTTTATAATTAGATGTTGATGCCAGTGAGGCAAGGCTGGGGCTGGAAGCCAGGATTGGAAAATCGTATGCATCTGTGGTTATTGGCTGACAAGCAACTCACAGAGACCCCATGGGGGCTGGGGCCCAACACACAGGAAGCACTGAGTGGTGTATAGGAAACAAGATGAGGCTATACAATCTCAAAGCCCACCACCAGTGGCATACTTCTTCCAGCAAGGCTCTACACACCTCCTAATCTCCTCAAAAAATGTGATCATAAACCAAGTGATCAAATAGATGAATCACTGGAGGACGTTTTTCATTAAAACTACAATGTTTTTCTTGTATTGGGTTATCATTTGTTATGGGGACTTCATCCATGAACCAAGTCATAGCTTTGGAAAGATCTTATCTTCCCTCCATGGATGACACAAATCCTGGACCACATTCACATGTCCATCTCCAAATTCCATACTTTCACATCACATTCAAAGAGTCACTCAATTTATGGTCAAGTGTGAGCCTCATCTATAATAACATATATATATATATATATGTATATATATATATATATATATATATATAGTCATACATTTAAAATAAGAGTGAAGGAAATACTGGGTGAGTTTCAAGAGTCCACTACCAATATGTAACTGATGAGACCAGAGCATATATTTTACCATTGGTTAACTCCAAAGCAACCCTGACACCAACTTGAAGGATTCTCAGAACTTTTACACAGTGATGTACCCAGATGAAAACTACAGTAATGTTTAGCAACATGGATATATAGAAGTTTCTAAATTTCCATTCCACTTGATTCTGGTCCATGAGCCTTAGTGTGAGCAAGGACTCTCCAGGCTTCTGTGATTCTGATTGTATACAAGACTTCATAAGATATTCTTTTCCACACTGTCATCTCATATATGTTTAAGACTATCATTAAAATGGTTTAAGTATTATCATTCAAAACCATTTAAAGATGTCCCCATATGTTTGAAGAACTTAGTGCTCTCTGAACTGAGATTAGACAACCAGAGACTTTCATCCTTAACTATATCACTGCCATAACTCTTTCCTGAGCTTGTTATAACAACTGGCCCTTGAAAATTATGAATACTAGAAAAGGTAAAGGGGTTACTAGGTGACTCCATCATGTTCTAAACTACTTGGATCCATTTCTCTTTTATAATAGGTGCCAGCCATTGAGTCACTATTCGTAAGCCACGACCCAAGATACGTCGAATGCCTCATGCCAGCTTCTATTGGTTTTCTACATTAGCATATAGTTGATTTCTCTGCTCCAAGAAAATGCCCTCAAGACAACTCTGCTGTCAAAAAGGTGAGGTACCCTTAGTGGGAGGTCAAGAGCATCTCCATATCCCTAGTCAACAAGAAGAAATGAGATGACATGAATGTCACCCACTAATCATCCACCTTTCAAGGCTTGATTTGGCAATTTTCCCTGAGGATGCAGAAGCTGACAGAAATGCTTTCCGGGTGGAAAACAGGCTTGTAAACCTTCCCAACTTATTATTTTCTGCCTGAAAGCAATAAACATCTGTTTCCTTGATAAAGTAACCAGGCTCAGATTGGAGGGGAGCAAAGCTATTTAGTTCAGCTCCAATTATGTATCCTTCTAGAGAATATCACCCTGAGGGCTCTGTACTGTGATATATTGAACATTACCCCAAACCCTCTCGATTCCCCTATGCATCATCAGCCCAAATTCTATGCTACAAGACATTGCTTCATGCTATAAAATGTTGGCAGATGTTATTGAGCACAGAAAGTAGAGAATAGATGCCCACATCTCTGAGATGTTGTGGACTAGACTAGACCAAAGCTTAAGGAAAAGATACTTTCTCAATTAATAAACCACTCCAGAACTCATTTCTTAGATCCTATGTGACAATGAAATCTAGAAAGAGATTGACTGTTTATTTTTCATATCTGCATCTCATTACCATATGCAGAACACTTTGACCCTGGATTCCTGGCTAATAAAAATGTATTCTACTTTGGCTTTTCTGAAATCACAATAAACATTTTTTTATCATTCAAGTTTCAATAAAATATTTTGAAGGCTGCTTAAGTGCAGTAGTGGGGATGGATAAGGAAAAGAGCAAGCTGTAATTGTAATGATCAAGAGATTGCAAATGGCTGAATTTGGAGCAACCAGCAAGAAAACTTTGAGTGTTGTAGCTTATCAGAAACTTCTTGTTGCTGTTGTTGTATTTAAAGGAATATTAGGAAATAGAATCTCATAATTTCTGACCTGTAAATTTATATTCCAGGTAATAAATAACATTTGTTCTGTAGAAGAAGACTGTATAATGTAGAGAAGAAAAGGTAATCAGGAAAGCCACGGAAGTAATGATAGAAGACAGCTGGAGGATGACTACCAGAATGAGGAGCCCAGAGAACTGAGCAAAAGCTTAGAAGGTGAGAGGGCTGGTCAAACAAATGTGGAAATACAATCAAGGGAGACAGAAATGGCATGTCAGGAAGTTCAAGGAGCAACATGGACACTAATGTGTCTAGAGAGGAGTGCCTGCAGGAAAGAAGTGAGGTGTACCATCAGAGAGACTGGCCAGGAGGAAGGAGGGGAGTTATGGAGATTCTTTAGGTGTAATGAAATAAGCATTCCCAAGATGTATGAATCTTATTTTAAAACGATGACTTGTGGAAATAGATTGTAGATATTGGGCAATCAGTGTAGCATCCAGGAATGGTTACAGAGGCTGGGCATCTAAACAAGAGGATTAGGAAAGTGGGTAATGATGGGAGCATAGGATTCTGCATTGCTTTGAAGAGTCAATATGATTACACTAGCTACACGTGAAAGAAGGGAATGGGAAGGCTGTGTTGAGATGTTCTGACCCAGAGAGAATGTGAAGACATACAAGTAGGGTGGGGAAACACTTCAGAAAAAACCATCAGTGTCTATTAATAACCTCATATAGATGTTGCACAGGTAAGTGGATATATAAAACCCAGATTTCAGGCAAAAGATGTGAGACAGAGGCATCAACTTTGGAATTGTACAGCATCCAAAGTCATGCTTCTGGAAGATAATTACAGTTAAGAATCAAAGACTGAAGCCAGATGTGTATGTGGGGTGTGCCTTTAATTCCAGCGTTCAGGAGGCAGAGGCAGGCAGATCTCTGAGTTCAAAGACAGCCTCTGTGTGTGGTGTGTGTGTGTGTGTGTGTGTGTGTGAGTGTGTTGAGCTCAAGAACACGTTGAAGTTAACAGGACTAAGAAGAAGGCCCAATAAAGAGGATAAAGGTGAGATGCTGATTACATAGACAACAAGCCAAAATAACACCATGTTCTAAGACCTAGGTGAACAAGTTATAAAACACGCCGAGTACCAACAGTCAGGTGGAGGCCACAGCTGGTCACTAGGCTAAGCTTGTGAATCTGATCAATGACCTCAGGGAAAGCTATTTAAGAGGATAGCATTGACTTGGAGAGAAGCAAGAGCAAATGGGACATTCTGTGCAGTATAGAGTAGTTGGGAATGTGGATGCAAATAGGCACTCATGGTCAAGCCTCTGATGGAAGATGCAGATATAGAGAAACAGGTGGAGATGGTGAAATGTTTGGCCAAATCCCTTTAGGGTACTTAGTGAAGTGAGAATGTCATCAGGTGAAAATGGTAAAGTTGGGGTGAAATATTTGCAAGAGGGTGTGAGAAGTCATTAGGCCAGGAATATGAGCATCAGTTGGAAGTCCGCTGGGCGTGCACTCTCAACCCCCAGGACTGAATGAAAAGTTGTATATGAACAAGAATTCCAGGTGTCTCACCTATCAATGAGCGAAGAGGATAAAAGGATAATAGCAACATATGCATCGAGGTGGTAGTTTGAACAATAAACACATAACATTCACCGAGCTCTCACCACTTAGGTCTTGGTAAGAAACAGAATCCACTCAGATGTTTTCACTAAGTGGTTCTCACGTCCAGATTCAGGCCTGTTACAGGGCTCTCAGGGGCTTGAGAACCGAAGCATTGGTAGTTGTCAGAGGATTCCATGGTGATTATAATGGGCAGCATGGCTTGCAAACCACCACGGTATGCAGTGAGACTGCAAGGAAGGGCTACTCACAGGGATCTGGGCAGAGTTACAAAGTAAAAATGGGAAATAGAAGCACTCAGGGACCAGCAAATGGAGGAAAAGCATTAGCTTACCTAGGCTGCAGGAACAAAAGGAGGAAACAGTCCTACTTCAGGGAACGAAGAGCAGCCTGCGAAGTTTAGCAAGGACGGACTGGATTGCTTCCAGGTAGTGAGAAAATTAGGATCCAGCAGCACTTAATTATCTCCTCTCTCTTACAATTGTGGGCCTTATGATGTTTCCTTCCATTGGCTGACTCCCAGATGAAGCTGGTAAGGCATCTTGGGTTATGTAGTTCTCCACTGTGGCTTGTAGTCCTGAGAAGAGAGGAGACCAGAGAAAGATTGCTGGGGAGGCAGATGGAGAATGATCATGAAATGCTCTTAGTGGAGGACCAGGACGTTTTCCAAGCACTTTATATGTAAATGGTTTTATTACTGTTTATTAAAACAAAGTACTTTCTTATTGAATAAAACTATGTATGCTAGGCCAATTCATTATTAGAGACAGTTGAATATTTTAACATTTAAACATATAGTATCTCCAGCTGAGAACTTCAAGTTTTCTTTTTCTAGGTGGTAAAACCAGCACTGATTATCTCTGGACTGATGAAAGTATTAATATTAGGTCAAATTCAGATTGTAATGTAGATGATGAAACAACTTGGGCGGAATGAGTGAATTTTCAAATTTTTACTCAGAAAATGTAAACAGAAAGATACAATGGGCCCATAAGTTGCAGGTCCCATTGGAATTCTATGTCCTGTTTCATGAACATCCTAAAGAAATCTACAAGGCCAATTATAGTTGTAAGTTCTTTTGTCTTCAATTATAAGCTATGTTTTGACATCACTAACAGCCATTCTAGGGGAATAGGAAATAACTGACTGCTAGAAGGCAGCAGAGAATTGTTAGCTGAAGAGGGCAGAAAAAGCATTCTACTCAAGAAAGACAGAACAAAAGACATAAACTGGGTCCTGTGTCCCAGCTATTAAAATTAACCAGATTATACCTGGGATCCTGGTTCCAATCCCAGCACCCATGTTTGTCTCACAACCATGCATAATGCTAGGGGCAATAGGGACACATGTGATACATATGAATGCATATTGGCAAAATATTCATACAAATGGAGTAAAATAAATAAACCTTTTAAAAGAGGTTTTAATTACCTAGCACCTGGAGATGAGACTTAATTGATAGAATGCTCCTCTAACGTATATGAGACCCTGGATTTTATCCCCAGCACCACATAAAACCTAAAACTGAGTGAGGTGGTAGCATCTCTGTAATCTTAGATCTTGGGAGGAGGAGATAGGAGGATGGAGAATTCAAAGTCATCCTCAGCTACAGTATAGTGTTTAAGGCCAGCCTGGGCTACATAAGACCCTGTAACAAAAGACCAGACGAAACGACAAGGAACCTGTTCTCATGAGGGGCATTTTCCTGGACCTAGAGAGGAGGTGACAGCAAAGCTTCAGGGGTGTCAACATCCTCTGCAGAAACAGAGCTGATAAGAGAACGAGCAATGCTGGAGTGGGCATCACGGCTGGAAGATCATCTTCTGCATTGACTGCTGTCTTCTGCCCCAGTCCTCATCCATTGATTGAGCACAAAGAAAGGTGCAGGCCAGGAGAGCAAGGGCCAAGAGTACGGGCTCAAGACGAAGAAAATGAGAGGCTGGGGGACCACAAGGATATCTCATAAAGGAGGCGCCGTGGGTGCTGCTAACATCAGCACTTTTGGTTCAGTTCTCTGTCATTCTGCCCTTGAGGGTGATGTGAACCCTGTTCCTTTAAACCCTGTTCCAAAGCCTCACATTTGGAAATCACATTGCCAGTAAGGGCGCTGTGCTTCCTCAAACAGCCTGCATGTTTGATTATCTACCTGACAAAGACTTGCCAGATGTCCAATTCATTTTCACTTTTTCTTTTTAACCAATACATGAAAAGCAAAACAAAACAAAAACCTTGTCTTCTTAAACACACGGCATATCATTTTGTTAGACGTCTCAAATCAAAAGAATTTTCTACCCTAACCATCTTTTTTAATATTGTATTTTAAGCCCGGTGACAAGTCCATTAGAGAGAGAAGGTATCTCCAAATCCCACTCTAACTAAGACTCTGAAGCTTCTTCCACATGCAGACACATCAGTTAATGAGGCTGTCTCAGTAGTGACCATATTTGCTTAGCATGCATTACAATCCCAAGTGACACTTCCTAATGAGTCTCTCGCTGCTATGGAGAAAAAGCTCTCCCACTCAGTAAATGTAAACTCACGTGTCCAAAGTGAAACATAATTGTGATGTTTAAGTGGCCTGTATTCACTCTCCACAGTCTCTCTGTGTTAGCCTGGTGCCAGTCTAATTTGCACCCTGAAGGCTACAGCCTCACTTGATTTAGATGTCAGAATAAGGCAGTCTATCAGTCTGAGAAACCAATGGGAATATTTTAGAAAATTGCTTTGGATATCTTCACCTTGCTGTGCAAAGGCCACTGCTCTCACAGAAACAAAGGGCTAAGTAATGTGACTCCCACAGACATTTTGAAGCGAGTTTAATCAAAGGAAATCTCCTCAGAGTCAGAGCTTGCCATGTGTGGTGCTTTAGCTGTACAGAAAAGTCCACTTGAAGAAATTTAGTATCAAGGCTGTAGACTGTACATTCCAAGGGAATGACTATGTAGGACATTGTCTTTAAATCTGAAGGAAGCATGAAGAAGGTTCCAATGAAACTCTTTCAGTATCAAATGTATTCTCCATATTGAATACTCCACACGGTGTATGCACTTTTCAAAGATGTCAGCCTGGTATTCACTATGTTCCCTGCTTCAGAGAAACAGACTACTTCTAAGAGCATCAAAGAGGGTTGAAGAACCAGAGACCTGGGTAGGCTCTATATTGCTAACTAATGCTGGCAGAGCACAGAGACAACTAATTATTTCTTTCCAAATTTTTCATTGACGTTCCTAGAATTATGAGCCACACACTGTGTAATTATACAATTATAATTCCGATATAATCTTTTAGAAACTAGAAGGAACTTTGAAGATAACTATTGACTTTTTCTCCTCTAGTGTCCTAGTGTCTTGGTTAGGGTGAGTATTGCTGTCATAAAACACCACGACCAAAGCAAGTTGGAAGGATGGGTTTATTCGGCTTATACTTCCACATCATGGTTTATCATCAAAGGAAGTCAGGACATGAACTCAAGCAGGGAAGAAACCTGGAGGCCAGAGCTGACACAGAGGATGTGGAGAAGTGCTGCCTACTAGTTTGCTTTCCTTGGTTTGCTTGAATCTAGACACAACTACAGACACATGAAGGTAGAAGGGGTAATATTTGGGAACAAGAAAGGGGTCAACATGAAGCATGACTGAGAACAACAGAGGGTGATGGATGTGTACAAAACCAATCAAGAGACATTTCACCCATGCATGGAAATGTCATGACAAAACCTGGTTTGTTTGCTTTTTTACAATTAATACATGCTATTATTCTTAAAGAGTATTGGGATCTGGAGCAAAGGCTTCCTATTTAAGAGTGATTGTTGCTCATGAAGAAGACCAGAGTTTGGTTCTGGGAACCCCTGCTAAGCAGCTCACAACCACATATAACCTCAACCCCAGAGGATCTCTGTATGCACACACATTCATATGCATATACACTGTCACTGTCACACACACACACACACACACACACACACACACACACACTAAAAATGAATCTTGGAATGTATAAAATGAAACAGTACTGAAATGACCAGTCTTAAGCCTTCATTCTCCATCTCTCTCTGGGCAGTACCACTGACGCTTGCTTAGAATGGCATGAGTTTGGTTTAGTCTTGTTTTTTATAAAGAAAGGGTAGACTTTCTGCTGAACTTTGATATTGTTACACAGATGACTTTGGCATTTGGAAAAGGCTGTTAACAAATAGTTTTAATTTTTATAACCATAGAAAAGTGTCTTCCATGGGTTTCCTTCACATTTTTTAGGTATGTGATATTTGATGATGATCATTCTAAAATATTTGACCCTATACAGATCCATAGCAAGGTTTGGTGTTGCTATTATCCACAATATGGTGATAGAAGACATACAATCTATGTTGCTTGCAGTCAACCAAAGACTCCTACAATTACACTGGTCATTGCTTAACAGCAGAAGAATTTTTTCAATGAGTCCCTCAAACTTTCTCATTAATAGAAACATAGTGACACTACAAAATAGGCATTCCTTATGTAATTTTTAATTCAGGATAAGCATGTCTATCTTCTGAAGTACCTATCTTTTCTAGTAAAAACATGCAAAATCCTCTCTTCTATTAGTCTTGAAATTTATATCATTAATATCTATAGCTACTTTACTCACAACAGAATTCCAGAACTTCCCTTAACAATATTTTGGTAAACTTTAACCAACTTTACCCATTCACCCTCTGCCCCAACCTCTGGTAACCATTGTTCTACTCTCACTTTCTATGGGACCATCTGTTTTTGGTTTCATGAGTGCCTAAGCAAAGCCTTTAACAATAGAACAATAAATATTGCAATAGAGGATCCTTTGGCTAAAGGGGTAGGCAACTAGCATAATTAGTAGCAGAAATTAATTTTTTCATGGTGAAATGAGTAAATTTCAAGATTTATGGATGGACTAAAAATTTCACAAGCTCCACTTTAAAAAAAGAGAACAGGTGTCTAATACATTCTTCAAATTTATCACAAATATTGATACCTAAGGCTGTTTCAGTATCCAGATGATGGACCATATCTTACTATATCAGAAAATGTTTAAAACTAATCCAGTTGAAATCTTTCATTTGAAGTGAACTTGGGACACATAAACAACACCACATATAAGAAGATCAAGGTCCTTCCTGGTTTTGTTGAAGTCAGGGCTGTGCTTGTCAATGAGTTGTCACACACCTAGTGACCAAGATGGCATGCCTGCCCTATGCATCATATTTTTTCAGCCTAACAAATTTGTTGTAGAGGGTGTCATACTGTTCGCCTAGTTCTAAATGTAATTGTAGGCAGCACCTAGATTTTAAAGGTCTGGTGTTGTGGTCAGATTTGTGTAGGTACATCTACAACACAGGAGAAGGGACAGTGTGAGGAGGGTCATGGAGTAGAGATTCCATTCCAAGCTGGTGACACTTTTTTGGAAGGTTTTGGAATCTTTAGTGGATAGGTTCTGCTTAAAGGAAGAAAATCACTAGGGTAGTGGGTCCTTGAGGTATCCTGTCCCTAGCCATTTCTTGTTTCTCCATCTCTGCTCCTATCCACTAGGATGTGATTCTGTCTTTCACCACATGCTCTC